GAGAGAGAGAGAGAGAGAGAGAGAGAGAGAGAGAGAGAGAGAGAGAGAGAGAGAATCAGTAAGGTCCTCTCTATTAGAAGCCAAAGCAAGCTGAGAACACAAGCCTATGTTCTTTGCATTTTTTTTCCCTTTTCTACTTTAAGTGAAGGAGCTTGGAGATGGCTATGACCTTGTAGGCTTTGGAAAATTGGGAGAGCAAGCCACCAGAGTTCATGTCAGAATTTTCTAGGAGGTAGATGGTGAGGGATGAAGTCCAGAGAGATCTGCACCATCCAGTCTAGGAGATTAAATATCATCCATCCATAGGTCACGTTGCATTTGGAGGTGAACTTGGGTGGGGGGTCAATGCTGTGTAAAAACTACATTAAATCTGAGTCTACTCTCCTCAGGGACCAAAAGGAAGGATATACGGAAGAGAAAGCACCCTTCCTTTCCCTGTGTTAAGGGAAAATGTTTCTATTTCTGTTCTTGTTATATTTTCAAAGTAAATACTCCTTTGCAAAAACTGTTTTTAAAAAGTAGATGACCTATTTATTATCTGGGACTGACAAGGTCTGTCAGTTAGCACATGATTATGGAAAACTGCTATGGTACCAGATGGGCCAAATTGAGTCTCCTTAATCCATCATCTCTGACTCCACAAATGTCAATTTTACATACCACAGAGTAGTTGAGAGCCATGATGAGAGTGTTGGGAACAATTAGAGAAATGTATCCTGGCACCTCTTGCTCCATCCAATTGTGCCATTAATAAAAATGAGAGAGAGAGAGAGAAAGAAAGAAAGAAAGAAAAAAAAGAAAGGATAGAAGGAAGGAAAGAAAGAAAAGAAAGAAATCCTCAAAAACCAGAGGAATTATTAATTTGAAGAAAAACAGGAGGTCAGGTTTCATTATAATCCTAAACCCACCTTTTATCATGTAAATAATGGGTTCTTTCCTATAGGAAAATGTGGCAATTAGGCTCTAGTCTCCTTTTGTAAGAGTGGGTCAATAAATTAAAGCTCTTCTAAGTATACAAAAAGAAGACAGTGACAGTACCCAACCTACTTCACCCAAGGGCTGGTCTTATTAATACTTTATTTTCTAGTAACTTTGATTATTCATGTTATTGATTTCATTATTTATTTGATGTATTCAATACAAAATCCTGGCTCCAGAATAACACATCAAGTCCATCTCCTCTCCCTCTGGCAGGTTAATCCTCCAAATGTAACAACTGTGTCAGTCTTTGGGAACCTCACTTGTCTGGCTCTATACTCCCACTCAGATGAAAGCTGGGAAATTCAGTGTCTGGCACTCTCCCAAGGAGAACCACTAGCTTCCCTATTCACCTTTAAGCTCACAAGCCTTCAAAACCTAGAATGGTTTTATTTACACAGTAAAACATACAAAAAAGGGCTCACATCCAGGCCCTAGAGATTAAAGCCATCATCCTCCTCTCCCCAGGGACCGAATGGGTCCTCATGGCATACAGTATTGCCTGTAGAGTTCCCATAATATGTATAGGGTGTCACAAAAGTCTTAGTGCAATTCTGAGCTTTAAGAACTTCAGAACTACAAATGCTATAGACTTTTTAAAAAATCATTTTAAAGTTTCACTATTTATTTGGATGATCTTAAGGTTAAGATTACAAATGCAAGCCCTTCAGTCACTGAGCAGCAGCTGAAGAGTTTTCACCAAATTTGAAAATTGCCTAGAGCAATGTACAACACAAGGCAGTGGTAATTTTTTTTTAACAAGGAGTCTATTTATGTTTTAAAAATTGAAATAATTTATTTTTCAAACTTTTTTTGGTAGGTTTGTAGCAGATATGAGTTTGAGGCAGCTAGACAGTTCAGTGGGTGGAACACTGGGCCAGGAGTCAGGAAGAATTGAGTTCAAATTTGGCTTCAGATGCTTACTAGCTGTGTGACCCTGGGCAAATCATTTAACCTCTCTTTCTGCCCTAAATGGATGTGTGCTCTGCTACACATTGGTGGTTTGTGCTCCAAAGCTCCTTTATAAATGAGTTCTTCTAAGGCACTGCTCCCTAGTTCTGACAGGTGTCCTGGATCCTTTTTACATCTGTCAATCAACCAAGCAAAAACGCATTTAAGTGCCAACTATGTGCACCAGGCACTGTGCTGGCACTGGTGAACCAAGTATAAAGAATAAAACAGTTCCTACTTTCTTAAGGAGACAAAATTAGTAAGTACAAAGTAGGAAGAAAGGAAAATAAACATTTATTAATTACCTATTTTTATATGCCAGGAAACAAACAAAGAGCTTTACAAATATCACATTTAATCCTCATGACAGCCTTGGAAGAGAGAGATGCTATTATTATCCCCATTTTACAGCTGGGGAAACTGAGGCAAACAGGTTAAGTGATTTGCCCAGGGTTA